ATATGTATATGTATATGTATATGTACAGGTATATGTATATGTATATGTATATGTATATATATACATATATATATGTAGATGTATATGTGTGTGTGTATGTGTATATGTATAGACACACGTACACACATACATACACACATACAAACATACACACATTCATACATACATACATACATAAATACATACTTACATATATACTTACATACATACTTACATACATACATACATACTTACTTACTTACTTACATACATATATAAAGAAAGAAAGAAAGAAAGAAAGCTGAGTTCATTTATCGGGCGTAGGGATGCTTAAGGCGGTTTATGTCTGCGAAGCTTTCTGGCGTTTCTGAGTGCGGGTCGGCCTTGATGTGACATAATTCTTCAGAGGGGTTTAGTTACAAGGGCCCAGAGAGCCCAATACCTCGTATTTAAGGAATATACCGGGGCTTCATATTGTGAGTTAAGCTGAACATTTTTAATTAAGGAGTCTTGGGCTCGCTAAGGTGGTGATAGCAGATAATGACAGATAGCCCAAATTTAATCCCGAAAGGTCAGCCTTAAGCTCGATTACGAAGCTGGGCAAGTAGGTTGATGCTTGAATCCACCCTACACCCTCAACCTTAAACCACGAGAACACTAAACGCCCGAAGCCCCAAACCCTAATCCCGAAACCGCAAACCAATAGTCATTCCAAAGTATACGGCTTAAACTCCTAATCCCACAACCTTGAACCCTAAACCTCATACATACCCGGGTTTAGGGCTTAGGGCCAGGGTTTAGGGTTAGGACTTTCCTCATACATACCCTCAGTGCGTGCCTCTAAAGGCAGGCTTGCGACCTGTGCAAAGCAGTGAAAGGCCACTGCTCAGACAGCCAAATACCCCTGCATTAAAGAATGTAGCATAAAGCATAACCTTATAAGTTAAGGTCTATTCCTCAAACATTGGGCTCTCTGGGTGCACTTATCCTAGGTAGCACTGGGGAGACCCCTAAAAGGGGACCCTTCTGAACCCTACTTCTGGCTCTCTTAAAGGGGGAGCTTATTGAGAGGGTCTGTATCCCCAAGGGTCCCCCTAATCCTAAGTCCCAACTTAAAGCAACAAATCTCAAAGCCGAATGCCTCAGACCCATCGCCTGTCTCAGGCGTGGAGGCGACAGACCCATCTTCACGTACGTGGGTGGCAATACAGGTCCGAGGTTTTGGGGGATTAGGGTTTCGGAGTTTTGGGATTTATTTAGGGGTTTCTGGGTTTAGGGCTTCAATGAGGTTTTAAAGGTTGCTGTTAGGGTTTAGGGGTTTAGGGTTTAGGGTTGGGACTTTAGGGGTTTAGGGGTTTAGGTTTCAGTCCAGGGCGCAGGGTTTAGAATCAGGAAGGTTTGAGTGATGTTTTCGCGCTCTTCTGCTGAGCTAAGCAGACCGGGGGGCGTGCTGCTGAAGAGGCTTTCTTCAAGTTGCCATGCTGTCCTCATTGTCATAGAATGGCAGTGGGGAGCGGGGTAGGGGATCATACTTGATGACAGAGGCCTTATTAGGCCCTTGTTCGGGTATTTAGCCCTGCCCCCCCCCACCCCCTTAAGGGTCCTTGCGATTATTCTACCTATGATCAGGATATTATGTTAGTGTAAACTGTATTAAGCGCCATAATGCCCTAAACCTTAAGCCCAGTTTTGCGACGGCCATTGACCGATGGTAGGGTGAAGGTAGCGACAGTCGTTCGTTGAGGGTACAGCGTGTTTTCCCCGCTGTCTACTGGAGGGCTTGCTATGAATCATTGTTATTCCTCGTGCCGATGATAGTATGTCCCTTACTGGAGTCCGAGGTTAGCGATGTTGTAAATCATGAACATTTCTGGGTCCGGTTGCAGTATGGCCTTTGGCATGTCCCTTACTTGTGAACGGGCCTGCATGTAGGACAGCTCGCGCTTGTGCTGTCAGGATCTGTGTTTTGAACCCCGACCCCTAGAACCTGAGCCTGAACACCTAAGCCCGAAACCCTAGACTCAAGCATGCCTTCTTAGACGAGCGACAACTTATCAAACATGCGTGACCCCGGGTTGTTGCATCTCTGAAAAGCTGCTCGGCCATGGTGGCCTAGGTTCACTGTTGGGGAGTGTAGAGGGTCTTAGGTCCCTAAACCCTAACCTCCATAAATCCTAAACAAACCCTAAACCCTAAACTCCATAAACCCTAAACCCTAGACCGTCCTAAACCCAAAACTCCCTAACTCCTAAACCCTCAACCCTAAACTCCCTAACTCCCAAGCTCGAAACTCCAAATCCTTCGCCCACTTCAGGCGGAGCTGATTCGGCGGCTGCCAGATTCTGGGTTCTTGTTAAGGATTTAATTGAAGTTACCATAAAATATAGGGATCTATAGTAAATAATATGGTTTCCTTATTATTCTTAGTACCTGAATTACTACACTTTAAACTTTTTGGGATAATATGAACTGGAAGTGTACACTTGTTTGCTTATGAACTCAGCAACAAAGTATAGCAACTTAAATTAAATCTCTTAACAACAGCCCAGGATTTGCAGATCGATGTCTCGGATTTCTGGACCCGCCATGGCCAGGAGATGCGCCCCAGGGGCCCCTTTTGTAAGTCGAAGGGGTCTACCCTAAACCCTAAACCCAGGGTTTAGGGTTTATGGTCTAAATCCCAATTAGGGGCTTGGGGTTGAGAGCTTTAGGATTCAGGGTTGTTGGGGGGGTTTGGGACGTGGGACGTGGGGTTCGCTTGATTCAAGCTTCCATCTCGAACAGCATCCCGCGCTTTAGGGTTTAGGGTTTTATGGGGGGTTTTAGGTTTAGGGGCATCTCGAAATGCAAAGCCATTCCACAGGACCTTATTGGCATTGTCTTCATGTGCCACATGGCAGATGCCCTCGCCAGCTGGTGCAGGCAGCTCCGATGTAGGCCCCTGATCAGTAAACCTGCCTGCCTTGCTACACATTATAATCGGGATCCCAAAACCAAGGGCCTTAAAGGAGAGACCTGCGGATTACAATCCCGAGCTTTCCTCACTAAAGTGAATAAGCACTAGGTTAGTTGATTCCGTGCCCGTCTAAAATCTCACCTACAGTGCTGCACAACCCACATAACATCATAGAACAGGGTTGAAGGTTCTCCAGAGGAGTATGGGTGAGCAGCATCTGTTTGACGAGTCCTCTGGGTGTACTTGCTGGATAAGTTGGATGGGCCAAGTCCCCTCCTCCAACCCCACAGAGAAAATTTTGTGAAAATGTCCGAACCCTAAACCCTAAACCCCAAGCAAAACGAAGAAGCCCTCAACCCTTCAATTCCCAAACCTCAACCCTAGACCTAGACCCTACCCAGAGGCTCCTTAGTAGTTCCTTTTGGGATTACCTTATAGGCTTCTAGGATTCTAAATATGAACCATAAACAGGCACTACTTAGGAGCCTATGGGTATGGCCCATGACTATCCTCTTCAGAGGTCGCGCCTTTCTCTGCTTCTACGTCGCTGTGGCAACCTTCGCGACGAACGTGGGGGGCAGAAACCACACGACACCGCGGATCGACCCTCTTCCGAGTTTTATGGTTTTAGGGTTTAGGGTTTAGGGCTTAGGGTTTCCGAGTTTCAAGGTGGATGAGGATGCTAATTTGTTGGGGGGGTTTGTCTGAGAGTCCCTCGTTTGCTCTTGGGGCTCGGGCTTAGTGTCATACTGGTAAGGTGGTTTCTGTCGCGATGCTGCTTCTGGCTCCGGTACCCATAGCTGTACCATCGCCGTTGTCGTGTGAAAGTTGCTGTTTGTGCCGCGATTACGGCTACAATTTTGCAGTTGGTGTCCGTCCTGATGGTCCTGTCAGTGTGAATGCTTGTCGTTGTTGTTATTGTTGCTGCTGTTCTGCTGCTGTTGTGGCTCCCTGTTGGGTAGGCCTGTGACCCCAAACCCTACAAAATAGTAGGTTATGGCCCCTTACTTAGAGGGTAGAACCCATAGAAACGGTAGGTTTTTGGATCCCCAGGGCGGCGTTAGGATTGTCGTTGTGTGCTGCTGCCGCTGTCAAGTCTTCGGCTTTTGTCTTAGGCCTTAGAGCTGCAACCCCTAGCCCCTAAACCCCTAAACCCAAAACCCCTGAACCCATAAACCCTAAACCCCTAAACCCTAAACCCCTAAACCCTAAGTTTCAACCCCTAAAGCCCTAAACCCCAAAGCGCAGTTGTTTCTAGTGGCTTGGACGAAACCCTAAACCGACGAGGTCACGTTTTGGCCAAAGATCCGGGCATGGGTGTCTGCGATGGGGAGGCACGAGGTAACACAATATAGGGTTTAGGGTTTAAGGCTTTAGGGCTTTAGGGTTTTGGGTTTGAGGGCTTAGGGTTTAGGGTTTAGGGTTTTAGGGTTTTAGGGTTTAGGGTTTCGGGCTTTGGCGATTTTGGGATGTTTCAGGGCTCCGGCACAGGGCTTTCTCCGACAAGTTGTACGCCACAGATGTCGGTTTTTGTTGAGGGGTTTGCGATGTTCAGCCTGACCCCTATAAGCCTATAAGCCTTAAACTATATGCTCTAAGCCCAAGACCCGAACCCTAAACCCTAAATGGGTACTTCTCTAAACTAGGGTGCCTTTTTGGGTAGTATCAAAAGGACCGTAACAGGGACCCTAATTTAGAGAACTACCCAAATCCTATCCCCAAATCCGGTACTGAGGTTTGGAGCTCTTCTACCCAAAGCCCTAATCCCCTTAAAGCTCCGAAGCTTTGCAGCTAGCACTCCACACCCCAAGCTTCTAATACTCTCAGGCACAAGTCCCAAAGCCTCTGAGCTTCAACTGCCCGAATTCCTAAACCTAAACCCTCACACCCTAACACCCTACACCCGACACTTAAACCCTGACATCCTAACACCCTAAAGCCCTAGGGCCCCACCACTTAAAATCCTGGTTCAGGGTTTAGGGTTACACCTTAGAGAGGGTTCAGAGCCTAGGGTTTATGGCTGCCGTACCGATTTCGAGGTTCAGGGATTAAGGACACCGGTGGATCTTCAGGGTTTAGGGTTTAGGAGGTGGGGGTTTCAGGGCTCAGGGTTTAGGGTACGCAAGAGCCTAGGATTTAGGTTCCGGCTTGAGAGCCTTAACATGCCAAACCCCAAAAAGCCCTTGAAGATTGGGGATGTTGTTGTTTTTTAAACCGGAGGCCAGGGTACTTGGGAATTGTATCCCAGTATACTCCGCATGTGTAACTCTACCCCCTCCGAGGCCTATTCCATTTTTAAGACCTCTCTATTCCCAAAGAGCCCAATACCCTCTTCATTAAGGAATACAGCTTAAATATGCTTAAAAGCATAATATGAAGCCACTTGTAATTTGAGGTGTATTCATTAATTAAGGGGGAGTATTGGGCTCTTTGGGCGATGGCCTTTCAGCTGGTGCCAGGCACCTGTGCAGCTCTTGGACTTTGCCAAGGAAGGGTCGAAGGGAATCTGTGCCTAGCTTCAGTGTCCATCGTAGTTCCTTTTTTGGATGAACCAATGATGGATTGAGGGTTTTATAAGTTAACCCAAAAAGGAACTACAGTGGCGACTCTAGTAAGTTCTGAGGCTTTACCTCATTTCTGTGGTTTGGTGGGTTGTTCTGGCTAGGGTCAGCATGATGCTTTTGGAGGAGGGGGAGGTCGCTCCAGAATGTGCCGGGTCAGCTCGGATCTTGGGTTTACGACTCGAATTAATTTAGGGTCAGGCTCTTCGAAAATTACACAACAGGACTTTGGGCTGAGGGCTCAAGTTGTGCATAACCCTAAACCCCAAGCCCTAAACCCTGAACCCTAAACCTTAAACCCTAGACCCTAAACCCTAAACCCTTAAACCCTAGACCCGAAAGCCTAAACCCGAAACCCTGCTCCAAAAGGGGTCTGCAGGGCGGAGTTGCCGACTGTGAGGTTGAGATTCAGCTGAGGTTTTTCGGTTCAGAGCTCGTTCTCCGAGGGTTTAGGCTTTAGGCGGTTTGGGGTTTAGGGTTTGTGCGGTTTGGGGTTTTGAGGTTTAGCGTTTAGGCTTTATGCGGTTTGGGGTTCAGGGTTTAGGGTTTAGGCGGTTTGGGGTTTAGGATTTGAGGTTATTTGTGTGAGTGTCTGGCATTGGTCTGAGAGATGGTGTTGTCTTGCACATCACGCATCAGGTGTAGGGTGCGCGGTTTAGGGAGGTCCATGGCTCAGGATTGTTCAGGACCTTGGCTGGCAAGTCGGTGCATCCTCAGATTCTTCACTGATCATCACCCACCGGTCAATAGGCAAGCCTTCAATCTTCGTGTAGGGCTAAACTTGAAGCAGTGTAGCAGAAACCATAACAGGGAACTGCGACCACAAATGCAGAGTAAATGTGATGCTTTGCAGCCTTTTACAAATAACCTGCGGTTAAACCCTCACACCAAAATCCTAAGGTCCTAGAGTCCTATATTATCTCATACCCTCACCGTTTTCAGAAGCACCGTCGCGAGGCCACATTCGGCGAAAGCACACGCATCTTCGCTGATGCCGCACACTGGCAAGTCGCCTGCAAAGGGGGTTGTCTTGAATTTCGGAAACACGATTTCTGAGGTTTCCTCAAGTTAGGGTCTTTGTGTGGGGTCAAACCAAACAGAATCCGATCATCTAGGGTCTACATTCAGGGTTCTGATGTCTGAAATGTCCATAAACACCGAACAGGCAGATTTAGGTCGTGGGTTTCGGATATCGCTAAAATCAACATGGCTCCGACTCAGGCCTATAGGTTTAAGGAATGTGTTTCACATCATGCTCTCCGTGGGGGAAGTCATTCTCATGAACCCTAAACCCTAAATCCTAAACCCAAAACCTGATGACATTCAGTTTTGGAGCCATCTCCAAGCCTAACCCTAAACCCTAAGCCTAAACGCACTCCTAGCAGACATCGCGATCAAGATAACGCAAGAGCCAAAGTCGCCCTGCCCTCTCATGGCATCCCAAGCTGGTAGCAGCAACATAATCACAATAAACAAGCCCTACATTGGAACCCCTTACAGAAACCCTTATAGAACCTTTAGAGGAACTCTACCCTATTCCCATTGTTAAGGCCCCTGTGTTAGGCACGGGTTTCTGCACCGCCTGGACGTGCCTTGCTCTGGCCTTGTCCTGCTGGCAACGACATACGAGGCGTTCTACGCCACGCGGCAAGGTTAGAGAGTTACGAATGATGTTTCATCTTCAAACCCCAGGGCCCGAGGGCTCCGTAGAAATGATGTGCTTTGCAAGCCGAAGGGGCGTTGAGTTTGAGGTTGCGGGGCTTGCAGGGTTAGGGGATCTATGGTTCAGCGGTGAGCCGTAAAACCCGGACACTGCGCCTAAGCCTTAAGGTACACCCTGAACCCCGGGGCCTTACAAGTAACATTTCGATCCCACTCTGAACCCTCTAAAACCTAAACCCTAAAACCCTAAACCCTAAAGTCCTGCACTCCGACTGAAGCCTGCGACCATGGACCAACCCCTTGTCCCCGACAGCCTAAAACCAACAACTGCTAAACCGGGGTCTAGGGGTTTTAGGGTTTCAGGTTGAGGGCTTAGGGTCGGGCCCTAACAAGAAACAACAGGCTTCTGCAGACCTCTGGTTACAAATCCTCGCCATCCTCTGAAAACAATGTTGTTAGTGATCTCAAAAAGCAGGCCCTTTGTTAACATTCTGATAATGGTTGGGTTCATGGGTCTAGTATAGAATCCCCAAGGAACCCTACTATTCTAACTATGAAGCCGCATCCCTAACCCTAAATCCTAAAACCCTAAGCCCTAAACGATTGCTGCTAAGGATCTGCAGCTGCAGCTCCACTCTGGGGACCTGGAGAGAGACTACGTTTCTCGGCCCAGTGCAGTGCTCTGAGAGTTTAGGGTTTTGGGTTCCTTTCAAAGGGATCTTTATGTGTTCTTCAGGGCTTCTGTGAGGCATCTATATACCCTAAACCCTAAACCCAAAATGGGGCTGAGGGACTTGGCAGATTGTTTCATTTGAGGCATCCATAGGTTTGACTTTCGCAACCTGGGCTTGGCACGGTTGGATCGGGCATTGGTTTTAAGGTTTTGCTTTGGGCTTCATTTTTGGGAGATTCAGGAATGTGCGTACTTGTTTTGATTGGGCTTCATTTGACAATACCTCATGTACGGGGAGGAGAGCCACAACTAACAAAAGCCCCACGAGTCTCCCAAACCGATGCATGCTTTTTGAACGGGTTCCTTCTTGTGAAGCAAGCTCCCTCAGTTGTCAGTATGTCTACCCCTAAATCCTAAAGCCCTAAACCCGACACCCCTAATCCCTAAACCCTAAACCCCTAAACCCCTAAACCCTTAATCCCTAAACCCTAAATCCTAAACCCTAAAGCCCTAAACCCTAAACCCCTAAACCCGCCCACCACCCCTCTCATCCTGTGGGTAGGTGGGCGCTGTCGAGTGCCAGCGAGACCTTGGCAGGCTCTGCTGGGCTGCAGAGG